TCAAGTCCACAGGGAGGAAGAGGTCCCCAAAGGGCAAGGCAGATTCTGGGTAGCCTTTAGAATCTTATCCTTTTGCATTTTCTAACTTTACTGCACCTTTTTTCCCTAACGATTTATTTATTTGAAGGAGTTACAGTGAGAAATGAACAGAGAGAAATGTTTCATCTGCTGGTTCACTCCCCAGGTGGCTGGAAGAGCTGGGCTGGGCCAGGTTGAAGCCAGAAGCCTCATGTGGACTCCCACTTGGGTGCAAGGGATCCAAGCACTTGGACGATCCTCTACTGCTTTTCCTAGGCCATTATCAGGGAGCAGGACCAGAATGATCAGCTGACACTTGAACTGGCATCCATATACCACAACACCGGCCTCCCACATGTTGTTTTTTAAGTTAAAAAAAAAAAGAAGGGCCCAGCGCAGTGGCGCAAGTGGTTAAGGTGCTTGCCTTGCACGCCCTGGATCCCATATGGGTGCCGGTTCTATCCCGGCAGCCCCGCTAACCTTCCAGCTCCCTGCCTGTGGCCCGGGAAAGCAGCAGAGGACGGCCCAAAGCCTTGGGACCCTGCACCCGCGTGGGAGACCCGGAAGAGGCTCCTGGCTTTGGATCGGCATAGCATCGGCCGTTGCGCTCACTTGGGGAGTGAATCTTCAGACGGAAGATCTTCCTCTCTGTCTCTCCTCTCTGTACATCCGCCTTTTCAATAGAAATTAAAAAAAAAAAAAAAGAAGAAGAAGAAGAAGAAGAAGAAGAAGAAAAAGCTCCATTGTTTGTCTCTGAATTTAGTAAACTGCACCACAGTCTGTATGAAGCCTGGTATTTGTCAAGCACCCTTTGAGCCACAGAACAGAGCATCTTGCTCCCTTGGGCTGTAGTGACCAGCCAATCCCTTGGCACACAGGTGTCCCTAGCACCTGGCAGGCACCCTTGCCACCTCTTCTGAATCAGGTGGAAATAGAGTTTGAAATCTGGAGTCAGAACAGTGGTTATGGGGCCGGGGGAGGTTTTGGCATACCTGGCTGGAGAGTTATGTTTGAGGTGGCTGTGGCCTGAGCAGCTCACGTGTCTGTCAGGTCCTTGTAAGAGTGCTTTCCTCACAGGGTTGGCACCTGCCACACAGCCTTGGTTCATGAAGGTGCCATCATGGAGAGGCTGGCTAGAGTACCTTATTCCTAAAGATGGCACTGCCTGCCAGCCAGGGATAAAATCCAGACGGGAGCTGTTGCCTCTGATTCATAGGAGGGAGGCCATCTGGACTTGGGGTCAGCAGGAGTAGGGGACTCGCCTTGCATTTCTGAATCAATCTGACTGCAGATGCGGTGATGCCTTGTGCAGTGCTTGGCTCTTAGGAACCCAGAAGCCCCTTCCTAGGGCTTCTTGCCTGGGTGTCTGGGGATGGCAGGGTGCTGCAAGTGTGGCTAGGGCGGGTTCCTTTCTCCAGGTGGCCTTCTGCACAGGGCGCAGCCGGATTTGGTGTAATAGAAGGCATGTGTCTGTAGGGGAGGCCTTCAGGACGGGTGGAAACGAATCCCCAGAAGGAGGAGGATGTTTGTCATCTAATTCACCTGGAGACCCATTGCTGGGTCAGGAGCCACCATTGGAGTTCCTAGAGTGATGCCTGGCCCTTTGGCAGCAGCCAGGCCTCCTGAGTCTTCAGATCTGGGCCCGTCTCTGGGCTGCTGCCCTAGCCTCGTCCCGCTAGGGGTCCTGAAACCTCACTCTTGGTCTATAGGGTGAAATCTGATGGCCCAGGCTGCTCTCCTGTGCTGCTGCCCTCACCAAGCCCTCACCACTGCCGCCTCCTGCCACCATGTGTGTGGTACCTGCTTGAAACCCATGCTGGTGCTGCTTGCTGGCCTTCCCTCCATTTTGCCTGGTCTCCTGTCTGCCTCTCTCAACATAGTCCTACCATTACCTCACTTTTGCAGGTTTAGCATTTTGCAAACTGCCAGATACACAGTAGGTACCTACTTACTATGGAGACTAGCCGGACCTGCCTGCCCTGAGCACACGCACATTGAGTGTCAGCTGATGTCAGGCTGGAGCTTTCTGATGGGCTCATTCTGGGGCCAAGGCGATAATCCCCACCCGTTAACCAACAGCTGTCTGTGGGCATTGGAGCAGTTCTTGGCTTGGTTCCGATGCTCTCTCTGTGGCTGAGTGAGCCAGTGCTGGGCTGTTGAGTCTCCTAAGTTCTGTTATAGCTGAGGCCCTGGTTATGATGCAGGCAGAGAGATTGTCCCTGAATTGTAGGGTTAAGCTTCCATTGTGGCTGTAAAAGAGAACATCATTTTGAAATGTGGGACACTATAATTCTGGAAGGGGGGGTCCTGGGAGGAGCAGGGCTTGTTAGCTGATGTTCTGCCTGTTTAGAATCTTGAGTGAGGACAGTGGTATCCCTGGCCGGAGGAGGTGCCGAGGTCCCGGGCTGACATCCTGGACTGGACTTGGAGGGATTGGCTCTGGGGCATCAGCTTTGCCTTCCTTTGCCGTTCCCTTTGTGAGGGGTCGGGGTCTGGGCTTCTGCCATCTTCCCTTGAAGGCTTGCCCTGCTGTGCCAGGAATCATCCTGGGCCTGTTGCAGTTGGATCACTGTAGCTGGCTGTGAGGGAGGGATAGGTGACAGCTCTGCTTCACAGACGGGACACCAAGGCAAAGGGAGGTGAACCTGCTTGTCTAGCAACATGCCTGTGGGGTGTTAGTTCAGCCCCTCAGTTTTCTTCCTTGGTTTTTTGTGGAATTAGCTGGCAGCACTATCAATCAGGAATGGCACATTAAAATCTCGTTTCTAGTCTTGAACTAGTCCACAAAGCTGAGTATCTTAGTTTCTGCTAAGAGGGTTTTACCTGAAAGAATGTGCCCAGGGCTGCTTGGCTAGGATTGACGGACCTGTCCCTGAGTGTCACTGTGCCCTCTGCAGTGTCTGCTCCCTCAGTGAGCTAACCTGTGCAGTACACTTCCCTGCGTCCTTTCAGCCTGTGGTTTCCCAGATGAACTGTGGAGTTAGACAGGTTTCCTTTAGTGCCTTTCGTGTTCACAGTGCCAGGGATTGCTGGAGTCACCAATGTATGCCGGAGACAGTGACCTGGTCCTGCTCTTTCGTCTCGGGAAAGTCCTGCCTCCTCCTGCTTCTAGGAGCTTTTTTTCAATTTCAATATTACGGCCCCTGACTTTGGGACAATAAAGGTGTCACAGTCCTTAGGTAAATAGTTTAATCAAAAATGGCTTTATAATGTTACAGTTTTTAAAAATAATTTTAAAGACAGTGTGGGCAGGGTTGGGGATGGATAAAAGAGAAATGGCTTTTCCTCAGCATAGTTTTGAGTTGTTTCATTTGTTACAAGGTTTATTGCTTTTTAAAATTAAGATATTAATTAAATTTAATAGACTTAACATGAATAAAAAATTGTAAAAATAGCATTTCCAGGGAATACCAGAGGTGGGCAGAGGCTGCAGGATGAAGCACACACAGCTGTTGGTGGCTCATACCTTGGAGAGCAGTGGGCCTGGCTGTACACTGTGTGGGAACCTGGAAGGCAGGGTCTTCCAGAGGAGAGTACGTGAGAGGCCAGAGCCCCTGGTCCCTCGTAGGACAGCCGCTGTGGACAGCACTTTGATGCCCAGGGTTGGGCAGGAGTGGAGCAGAGGAGTTTCGCAGTGTGAGTACATATGTGTGGCATACCTGTGATTGAAATGTCCCACCTCAGCAATGTCAACAGAGGCTGGCCAGAAACAGTCTGTGTGGATCCAGATTCATCCAAAATGCTCTTTCAGCATCTAGTCACTAAATACAGATCATTGCAGACATCTTACTAATTTTTATCCAAGCCTTTGAAACTCCTAGCATTTCCTACTGGTGGCCCTGGGAGTCAGGAGTCAGGAAGAGGAAAAGCTGTTGGTGACCATCAGTTTGACATGGAGTCATCCTGCCTAGGCTGCAGCTCCAGTGGCCTGGCTGAGCTCAAATTCCACCCCCATACTTCCAAAAGCAGGCCTTCACCTCTGCACACAGACACGATGCCACAGAAAGGAAGAAAGAGGCTTTCCCCACACCCTCCCTGGGGCCCCCACAAGCTGTGACACCTGTAGTGTCAGTGTGGGTATTTGTAAGCTGTCGGGCTTCATCAAGTTAGGACATTCCAGGGGTGTTCATGATAAGCAGTTCACCCACGTCCCCTCATTAAGGTGCCATGCTAAATGCAGTGACTTGCCATGAAAATATTGTAACAGGTAAGTGAAAACATTGTGACAAGCCTGAGAATTCAGAGTTGCTGTGGAAACCTCCCCCCAGTTCTCTGTCCATCCTAGGTGGGCTCAGCTAAGGAGCAGCCCAGTGATTTTTTGGCTCTTCTGTTGGGCTCCCAGACAGATTCTGCCTGCTCAGGGATAGCTGCCTAGGCAGTGTCAGTGTGATACGCCCTGATCAGCCACAGGGAGGACAGAGCTGGGGGTTTAGAGATGACTCTCAGTTGTTGGCAAAAGGCTGTGTCCTCCAGGCAGTCATCAGTGGACCGGCCTGTCCCAGGCTTCCTTCTCCACAGGCCTGTGTTGCTTGTGCTTCGTCCAGGGAAGGTCAGAAGTAGGATGTTTGGGCCTGTTACTCTGTGTGTGTAGCAGGGTAAGGGATAGATTTGGGACTCAGGACCCACAGTGGTCATGGCCAAGTGGGAAAACCTTGTCAAACCAGGGCGGGGGGACTGAACTAGTGCATTGCTGGTAGGAGAGGAAAGTCACTCATGCGTTGTGTGATTCTACTCAATTATTTCCGTGGTTTAAAAAGGAGGCTGGTTACTCCTGGCCCAGGCAGAGGCTTGGGGCAAATTCAGAGGCTGGAGCAGGGACTCCTTGCCTCATACTTTTTAGTGTTTCTCAGGAGATTCGTCCAGGGCCTGCCCACTTGCCAGGCAGACAGAGTTCTCGTTGGCTGTATGGGCTTGGGGAGCAGCATCAGGGCTGCTGCTGGGGTTTGGGAGTGGGTATAAGATCCTGTTCCTTCCCTCTTCAGGTACAGGGCCCCTGGACACCGACAGCCCTCTCTACCTGCCCTACACGACGCTAGTCTCCACAATTGGAAGCATGGTGTTCAATGAGGGGGAGGCCCAGCGGCTCATCGAGATCCTGTCTGAGAAGGCTGGCATCGTTCAGGATACCTGGCACAAGGTAGGCCCCCCCAGTCCCTGGCCATACTATGAGGTCACTGCAGCTGGCCAGGTTGAGGATTTGGGGGCCACTTACAAGCTGACCCTACCACCTTGCCAAGCTGCAGAGGATGTTCCTGGAAGAACCTGCACTTCTCTTTCCAGGCAGACTCTGGGGTCCCTGCACTCAAACCAAAGCTGTGAAGGGTGAAGGGCCACTGTGTTCCAGGAGACCCTGGGTGTGGAACAAGGAACTGGGTACCTGGTATCCTCCCACTCCTCCCCACCCTGCACACTGCCTCGCCCCCACGCCAGTTTGCAACCAGTGTACAGTGAGGAAGTTGTAGGGACAGCATGTGTGAGGGAACCCTGTGATGAACCCAGAAGTACCCCTGCTGTCAGATGTTACCTCCACTTCAGTGCTCTGGCCAGTAAGACCAGGAAATAGCATGTGTGGGTGCGCGCGCACACACACACACACACACACACACGTTTATTCCTTTACTGGAATCAAGATGTTAGGTAATTTGCTGGAGGGTTTTGTGTTGCGAGCATGTCTCAGGAGCCTTGCCTGAGGCCAGCAGGAGCTGGGGTTTGATCTTGCATCACACATAATAGCATTCCTGCTAGGGGCTCCTGGCTCAGGGAGTGGGACCCTTCTGGCTGTGAATGCTAGAGGAGATAGGCTCAGTTCAAGCCACCACCCCATAACCATATTCCTCATCCCCAGGCTGCCCCCACCAGCTCAGGGGTGACTCTGAACCAGAAATGAAGTCTGTTCCTGGGAGGGGCTAGAAATGGCCGCATATGGGAAAAATGCCCTAGGACATGGTGCCCCGGCGCCTGGAGGCCTGGCAGGCTGTGTGGCTCCGGCAGTGTTCAGATTCAGGCATACTCACCTTGGGGGGCAAGCCCTGAGTCTGTCTGTCCCCCTATATTTATGAAGCTCTTGGGCATTTCTAGGCTACTCAGAAGGGTGACCCCGTGGCGATTCTGAAACGACAGCTGGAAGAGAAGGAGAAGCTGCTGGCCACGGAGCAGGAAGACGCGGCCGTGGCCAAGAGCAAACTGAGGGAGCTCAACAAGGTACAGCCCCTGCTGTCCTTGCCCAGTGAGGACCTCCGCCCACTGCTGCACTTGGGTCGCAGGCTCTGGGGGTGGCTGCTCAGTGGAACCTGCAGGCCCAGTGAGTGACATGAAGAGTGCGTGGAAGTTAAGCAGCTGCTGGGAGCTCAACTGGCTCAGAACTGACTCTCACCAGGCTGGTCCCATCACGAAGAGGGTCCTGGTTTTCAGTTGGGCACCATACATCTATAGTGGTTTCTTGAATTGAGTGAAAACCCTGTGGGGAGGCGGAGAAGAGCTTTTTCCAGTATCAGAGAGTGATGTGTAAGGAGGCAGGCAACTTTAGTGTCAGCTGCTCGCATGGCAGGGGAGATGATTCCTGGGAGGGCATCCTTGAGGACATGCTGGGACCCATAGTGCTGCAGACCACTCTTGGCCCTGCCAAGTTCACCAGGATCTGTGTCTTGACTCTCCACTTCCCGAACCCTGCCTTCCAAGAGGACATGCAGAACAGGGCAATAGCACTGCATTGGGAAGCTGTCTGCTCCTCTGTCCTGGGCCGTAGGTGCAGGAAGGTGGCCTGCAGCACTTCCTGCTGGTATTCAGGAGGACCAGGAGATGAGGTATCCTGTTTTTCTGGCCTAAATTCAGGAGGTGCAGTTAAATTAGACTGGAAGGATCGCTGGGTGGAGGTAGGCAAGAACAGAGAAGTAAAGGGCAGGCCTCCAGTGGCCATTGCCATTTACATTCTCTCTGCCATGCCTCTGAAGCGTACGTACGTGCAACCTCCACATGAGCTGCTCTGGGTTTTTGGTGAACTGTGGGATGGCTGGAGCTGCCCTCCCAGGCTCAGAAAGCCCATTGTGTCCACCTCTCTTTCTGCAAATCGAAGAGCGTTTACACCACAGAGATTGGCATGTGCTGCAAATGTGAGCTTCCCATCCCAAGGGCCTGCTGGTTTCAGAGTCTTGATTCATTCCCTCTTTATAAGCAAACTGAGGCATCCTTATGAGATTTTGACACACACACCCTCCTCGAGTTAGAAGGGCTAGTGAGCCATTGCCTGGCTAGTTCCCCATGCCTCCCACCTTTAACACAGAATGGCTGGAGTGTGACCAGTTACTAGGTGGCCACTTCAGGCAGTGACATGTGGTCCTCACCTCTTACTCTGGCTGGCTTCCCTGTCCACTGGAGTCAGGTAGCCCAGACGTCAGCTCATTAACAGCCCCCTCCCTGTGCTGGTCACTGGACACAAGTATGCTCTCCTTCAGCACCAACTGTGAGTTGATTTCCAAAACCAAGGATGGCAGCAAGTACACCTTGCATGTGAGGAGGCAGCCCAGCCCTGCCTGCGTGGGGCAGCAGTAGATTCCTGGCTGTAAGCCTCGGGCAAAGCCTTTGCCTCTCGTAGCCCAGCACCCAACTGTGGTGCTGAGGTGACACAGGTGTATGGATAACAGCCCATGGCAACTCCCCCCACCCTCCCTCTTTAGCCATGGGCATGCCGAGGCCTTTCTGTGCTTTGGTTTCCTCCTCTCGAGGCTGGACCAGGCACTTCAAGGGGCTGGAGTGAAGAAGCTAGAGGGAGAAAGGAACCTTCCAGTTTGGTGTGTGTGGAGGCACACTTGTGCTGCCCAAATTGGGGTTCCTTGCTGAGGTACGTGGTGCTGCCTCCCTGGACAGAGGAGGGCATCGGTCTTCCACACCCAGATCTGGCCATACCTCGTTTGTCACGTTTCCCCAGCACTGGTCTCACATCTACTTGAGCTGTGGATCACTTTCCACATCTGACTAAGAATCAGATGAGCAGTGGACCTTAATTGTCCTCTGTAGGCACAGTGGGAATGATGCCCTCCCACTACTAAAGACGAGGCAGTGTCCCTTCGGCAGCCCTGCAGGCCCACCCTGGGGAGAGCCAAAGGATGCCGATCTTTGAAAAGCAGGGCCAGTGGGTGCCAGCTGATCCCAGGAGTGCTGATCCCAGGAGTGCTGACCCAGAGAACCACATGAGTACCCTGTGCCACTGTGGTCAGCCCAGTCCATGCCCTGGTTCTTCTGTCTCAGCAGATGGGCTTCCCTCACAGCGCTGGTAGGGAGAAGGCTAGAATTTCCCTTGTGTGGTCTTGTGCCCAGTTCGGGGAAGGGGAAAGCCCTGAAATTTCATGGGGTACTTGCACCCAGGCATCCAGTAGGGAAGCCATGTCTTTAGTGTATGTGCTCACCATATAGACACTGGCCTGGTCAGGGGCAGGAAGCATGCCCACCACCCTTCCTCAGGTTGTGAACCCTGCCTTTCCCCACATTGTTCAGTGCTACTATCCTGGGATAATTTGCCAACCCTGGGTTCTGCTGCCTGTGCACAGGCTGCCAGCTCCCCAGATTGTGGGCATCCTGGCAGGGACTGGAACACACATTCCTTTGGACTGGAGTAGACAAATGGTGGCTCCTGGCATGCAGGCCCTCTAGAAACGCTGGCCACATCCTGGTCCCAAGCACCAAGGGTCGTGCCTCTCTGTCGTAACAAAAGTGTTGGAGGGGAAGTGGATGTTCTGGGAACCTGGTGTGAGCCACGCTGCGATGTTGTCAGCGGAGACAGGCTGAGCCAGTGCTCAGGAACACCGGGGTAGTAGGCTCTGCACGCTTCACCATGGCCAAGGCCACGTCCAGCCAGGTCAGCAGGCTCTCTTGGTGCTCCTGCTGTTGTTGGCAGGGCTCTTGGTGGCCTCAGCCAGCTGTAGGGGTCTCTACTGAGCTCTCAAGTCACCTCCTGACCTTGGGGGCACTTACACTTCTTCCTCCACAGGCCTGACCGGCTCTCTCTCTCTCTGCTATCCTCTTCCCAGGAGATGGCAGCTGAAAAGGCCAAGGCAGCAGTTGGGGAGGCCAAGGTGAAGAAGCAGCTGGTGGCTCGGGAGCAGGAAATCGCAGCTGTGCAGGCGCGCATGCAGGCCAGCTATCGAGAGCACGTAAAGGAGGTGCAGCAGCTGCAGGGCAAGGTGGGCAGTGGCACTGGGGCCCTGGGGGTGGGGGGCACTTGGTGGTTGGGGTGCAGGAAGCTGGGGTTATCTAACTGGACAGAGGTGCTGCATTTCATGTTAATCAGGAAAGTACGTTAGAGTTTAGAGCATGTTCTGATAACATAGCTTCAAGCAACCAGCTCTGTGCATCAGGTGCTCAGCCTGCCTGTGACCCTGGACAGTGCTTTTTTGCTGTGGGCTTGTGAGCGCCAGAGTCACAGTGAGGCTGGACCTGTGGTGCAGAAGGTTAAGCTGGCGCTTTAGGATTTAGGATGGTGGTGTTCCATGTTAGAGCACTTGTTTGAGTCCCAGCTGCTTTGCTGCTTCTCGCTATTAAATCCTTGGGGAAGACCCAAGTCACTGGGCCTCTGCAACTTGTGTGGGAGACGCGCATGGGACCCCGACTCCTGGTTTCAGCCTGGTCCTGACTTGGCCATGCTACGGAGAGTGATCCAGTGAGCAGGAGGAAGATCTCTGCCTTCTTCACTACTCACTCACTCACATTCTGCCTTTTATCTAAATGAATATCTTTTAAAAGGAAAGCACAGATCTGAGGTTGGCACCAGGCAGCTGTCTACCCTACTCAGAGCCTGATCCTTATCTCACATCCCCGCCATGGTCGCAGCCTCCTGCCTGTTGCCTGGCTCAGAGGCGCAGGAGGTCAGAGGGCAGGAAGGGAGTCTTCCTCAGGATGCCTAAGAGGCTGTGACTTGCGGTTGTGTGCTTCATCTCAGCACAGTCGACTCTGGTGACCTCAGGAGCAGACCTCCCCAGATGTGTCACGCTGTGACCTCAGCCTGTGACCACAGGCCGGCAGTGAGCAGTGAGGTGGAGAGGAGTGGCTGGCAGCCTACACTTGGCCTCAAGCCCCCAGCCTTGATGTTCTGGTCTCTTGCTGCCCGGCATTCGCTTCCATCTGGGGGTTCTGTCATATGTCTTCACTCTGCCTCATCTGGAAGCCAGTTCTCTTGGTGGGGTCAGGACAGTTCTGATGTCCCTGATGGTGTCGTTGCAGATTCGAACTCTTCAGGAACAGCTGGAGAATGGCCCCAACACTCAGCTGGCCCGGTTGCAGCAGGAGAACTCCATCCTGAGAGATGCCTTGAATCAAGCCACCAGCCAGGTGGAGAGCAAGTAAGCCACAGTGACCCTGCATCCCCAGGGCTCCAGCACCTATAGAGGTGTGCTCTGGTTTCTTGCTAGATGTGTAACTGTGCCCAGGCACCATGTATGTGAACCAGGGATTGCCTTACAGTTTTGCCGCCACCTGGTGTAGGGCCCTGACTGGGGCCTTCCTCCAGTGTCTGAGTCCTGAGTTCTAACAGCTAGCCTGTTGTCCCCCTCACTGCTACAGCCTGCAGCGCCCCCTGCCGGGGGCTGAAATATAATACCTGCTCCAGATCTGACTTTCAAAGCTGGGCATGGCCCAGAGTAGCATGGACGCCAGTGGCTTTCTTGCAGGCAGAATGGTGGCTTTCTTGCAGGCAGAACGCAGAGCTGGCCAAGCTGCGGCAAGAGCTCAGCAAGGTCAGCAAGGAACTACTGGAGAAGTCAGAGGCCAGCCGGCAGGAGGAGCAGCAGCGGAAGGCTCTGGAGGCCAAGGCTGCCACCTTCGAGAAGCAGGTGCTGCAGCTGCAGGTGAGTCGGGGTGCCCTGTGCACTTGCCACCCAGCCTGTCTGCATGGTATAGAGAGGCTCATGGTCACCCGGCCACACTTTGTCATTCTTTGGCAATAAAGCTCAAGCCCTTGACCTTAACCTAGTCAGTAACAGTGCCAGTGGGCATCAAGCAGCTGCTTCCCATGTGCTGAGCAAACTCAGCCAGTTCCCTTGGTAACTCCATGAGCCAGAGATACACTGGCATCTGCATTTTTCCCAAAGGGAAATTTGAGGTGACCACCCCTCCCTGCATAGCCAGGTCCCGCACATGGCAGGTAGAGTTTGAACTCCAACTAAGTTTAGCTCCAGTGTTGTTTTTGTCCTCCAACACTGGGCACCACTATGATGCTGCCAGTCTGCAGCAGACACCAAGCTGAGTGGCATAGATTCAGCCTCTGACTTCAATGCCAGGTGGATTTTGTTCTTTCTCAGCTTCCACACATGGCCTGGAAGCCTCTTCTCACAGGAGAGTATCCTGCCGCATGGTGCACAGCGCCCTGCTGCCTTCACACCCTCCTTGGGGTAGCTTTTAAGAAAGCAAGGACATCCTGGTGACTCCAGAGGCTTATTTTTGTCAGTAAAGGCTTTGTGATGTGGTAGGGAAATTGAAAAGGACTGGGATTGCATACACCAAATAGGCTAACATGTGAGTGGAAAAAAACAGATGTAGCTGTGAGCAGTGGAGCTGGCCAATGTGGAGTCTTCTCTTTCTGTGATGCAGGCAGACCTTGACAGTGAGATGGATCTGCCTGGACCTGTCAGGACCCATTATGGGAGGAAGGCGCAGGGATGCACAGATGGGTCCAGTCCTTATCTAAGACCAAAGGTGCTAGGACAAAAGGGTGCAAGTTTGCTTTTGTCAATGTCAAGGCCTCTGGAGACAACTCCCAGGCTCAGATCCCAGCCCTGCGCCCACTGGCAAGTCGTGTCAGAGCCACCGGTGCCTTGACATCGCTCATCAAAATGCGCACACCAGCTTTTATCTCCTTGCCCTAAGCAGGAGTGGAGAGGATGATCTGGTCATGAGGGCTGAGGAGGACCCAGTCTTCAGGAATCATTTGCAGACTGGCACTTCTTAACCCTACCTTCCCCTGGAACCTGCTTGTGACTTCAGCAGTCAGACACAGCACTCGTGTCCCAGGAGCCCAACAAGAGGAGTGCCCACACCGTACAAGGGGGCCCCTTGTGGCGCAGTGGAAGGTAGACCAGGCAGTGTGGTGCTGCTTGTAAGATCCTAGAGAGAACTATATAGGATTGCTGTTTGTATGCTGGCAACATCACAGGGTCTACCCCGTGTCAGGTGACAGAGGAGAACCACATGTTAAATGCTTTTAATCACATGCTACACCTGTGACTGTATAGATGCAAGGAGCCTCAAGCAAGAGGCCCCCGAGAAAGCCAGGGTTACCTCGGAGGAAGTGCTTGCTCACTGCAAAGCTGCAGCCCTTCTCACACAGAGACGATGATGTTCTTTCTTGCCTCCGCATGTCAGAGACCCACAGTGGGCTTTGGTGGGGTTTGGCTGACCCAGGTAAGAGTTCTGTCCTGCCCTCTGTGCCGCTCACCAGGTGTCACACAAGGAGAATGAGGAAGCCCTGCAGAAGCGCCTAGATGAGGTCAGCCGGGAGCTATGCCGAGTGCAGACCAGCCATGCCAGCCTGCGGGCGGATGCAGAGAAGGCCCAGGAGCAGCAGCAGCGGGCAGCTGGTGAGGGCCATGCCCCAGTGGCACTCCTTGGCTTGGGTCTGGGTTGCCCACCTCCTGGCCCCACTAGCAGGACCTAACAATCAGGTGTTGGGTATAGCACAGATGCTCCACTCTTCCTCTCAGAAGAGAGGTAAGGGTTCTGTCCTCTCGGGCAGGGATGGGGTAAGGAACCTGTGTCTGGGTAAACTGAGGCTGTGGCTAATGTCTGTTGATCACATATTTGTTCTGGGTCTTTCTGCTCTGCCAGCTCAGACAGATTCAGAAGGTAGGGCCTATCTTGGGTCCTTGCACCTCACTGGTGTGGAGACAGTAACAAGGATGAGGCTTTTGGGTGACCTTGGAGAAAGGGGGCAGCTGGTGCCACTGAGAGTTGGATGCTCCCTGACTTGGAAGGACCTCTGGGCAGATGTTGGGGGCCAATGGGCTGGGCCAGTTTTTCACCAGCAGTGTCACCAGCAAGGACAGAGTCCCACAGCAACATCAGCTGAGGCAGGATCAGCAAACTGTTTCTGTGAAAAGACAGATGAGGGACTCTAAGCTGCTGTGGATAAAAGTGGCTGTGAGCAGTATGCACACAGAGAGGCCTGGCTGTGCCTGCAGTTTGCTATATGGAAACCCAGAGCAGCCTTTGCCTCTGGCTTGCTGGCCTCTGCACCAGGGGCCACATGAGGCTTTAAACCAAATAGATTTGAGTGTTCTCTCTGAGGCAGGAAGGGATATATAGGCTTGAATTAGAGTGATGGAAGGGTCCAGCCCCATTAAGCCAGTTCTGGGCTCCTAAGAGGAGTGAACTTGAACCTGGCCTATTTGAGAACTAAAGTTACTGTGATTAATGGGGGACTGGGTGGAGGAGGGGCCCAGGTACCATGTGAAGTGCGTGGCTCAGGGCCAGGAACTGGCACACCTTGATCCATTTCCAATCTCTCTGATGCTGGTAGCAAGTGGGCCATGATGGTACAGCAACTGGGGTATGCCAAAGAAGAGGCTCTTGGGGGCCACCCAGGCCCAGAGGAGCAGAGCCTGCCCCAGGCAGAAAGGGGCCCTGGGGAGGTGGGGACAAGTGTGGCCGGTGGTAGACATGGAGTTTGAAAGCAAAGCAGCCAAGACAAGGGCCTGAGATGTTGGGATCTGGGTTTGAGGCGCCTGATTGGAGCTATGCTTGGAGGTGAGTGAGGGTAGGCCGGGAGGGTGGCAGGGCCACAGACACAAGCCAATGTCTTTGGGGCGAGTGGAAGTTCACTGAGATGCAGTCGCAGGCCATCATTGTCTCATCAGGGCTGAGGGCACTTCCACCCTAGTGTGTCCGGTGGCTGTGACCTACTCCTCCCCACCCCACCCTGGATCACACACTGGAGCCAAGGAAGCCAGCATTGGGTGTCATGCCTGCCTGGGGCAGCGGTCAGCAGGGGCAGCACCTCACACCCCTCTCCTTCCCTTCCCTGTCACAGAGCTGCATAGCAAACTGCAGTCCTCCGAGGCTGAGGTGAGGAGCAAGCGTGAGGAGCTGAGCAGCCTCCAGGGGCAGCTCAAGGAGGCCAGGGCGGAGAATTCACAGCTCACCGAGCGGATCCAGTCCATCGAGGCCTTGCTGGAGGCAGGCCAGGCCCGCAGTGCTCAGGTCAGCCCCTCCACAGGAAGTGGGGAGAGCTCTGCCTCTGCCCTAGCTCTGCCCTTGCCCCAGGAGCCTTTTGTGTCTTTTGCAGGCTAGCCACGCAGAAGCTGAGCAGCAACAGACCCGGTAAGCTGATGAGGACGAGATGCACTGGACTCTGCCCAATTGCTTCTATCATAGCCATGAGCAGAGGACCCTGGGAGATGCCACCTTCATGGTGCCCTGGGGAAGAGCCCCCTTTAGAGACTCCCTTCCTGCCCCATCCCTTGTCCCTCTGTGACTTAGAGGCCAGGACAGGCCTGGGCAGGAGAGAAGGCAGCCTGCAGAGGGTTCCTGGCTCCTCACAAGGAGCAAAACTCAGCCAAGCACCCACCTGTCTGTCTGCTACCACCCATTCAGCCACCACTTGGGCTCTGTCCACCTCACAAGGCAAGGGACACCTGGGCTGTGGTCAATAATTCAAGTAAGAAGAAGTTTTACACAGTTTAGAGTAGAGACCTGGGCAGGCTGCCTGGGTAGTTTGCTGGACTGGAGGTTTGGGACATAGGAGCTAATAAGCACACATGACTTCACTGCTAGCCAGACCTTGTCCCTTCTGGCAGCTGCCCCGGGCCCTTCTTGGGGCCTGTTTGCTACTGCTGATTGGAGACACACCTGGGTGGATTCCATGAACAGATTGGGGCTTGAGCTGATATGACCATACCCTCTGGGGCTTGCCTCCCTGGGGTCCACGAGGCAGTCACTTGGGACTTAGGGTGTGCCATAGGCTCTTAAGAGCACAAGGCACACGGTCCTTGAGGAGCAGTATTAGCCAGGGTCCCTGTGCTGTCATGGCTGCACTGAGTCTTTAGTTCAGGCTTCTGAGGGTCAGCTATGCCAGAGACAGGGCTAGCTTGTCTGTGCTGGGCTCCCCAGAGCAGGAGCTGTGCACCAGTAGCAGGACTAGGCTCAAGAGAAGAGAGTGTCTTATAGCATACCCCAGAGCCCATCCTGCACTGGCCACCATGGTGGGAGGACTCAGGCAGCTGCTCTGCCTTCCCTGGGAACCTGTGGCACTGGAGAGGCTCTCTCCGATAGACTGGCTCAGCCCCCAGGTGTTCCTTGCTGGGTGAGCCTCAGCTACACTGAGTGGCTAGGACAGGAAGGCCTTCCTAAGACAGGACCTGTGGGAGCTGTGGACCCCTGAAGCCAGGGCAGTGACCTCACTGTGTCCTCTTAGCCTTGGGGAGCTGGAGTCGCAGGTCTCATGTCTGAAGAAGGAAGCCATGGAGCTGAAGGAGGCCTTGGAGCAGCAGAAAGGGAAGAACAACGTGAGTGGCGGGTGTTGTGCTGGACGGGGCTGGCAGAAAAGGGTGCTGCCTGGATAGTCAAGGGGGCGGACCAGGAGGGCCCCACCTTCCAGTACACCACAGGTCCCAGGGCTGAGTTGGCTCAAGTATGGAGCCATCCCTGTGGTGGGAATGCTGTGCCTGGTGGGCACTGAGAGCAGGGAGTGACGCAGCTGTCATCCCCATGGCTGCCGAGGGTGTGAGGCCTTGGCCATATGCACCTTACCTCTTCTCCTTGAAGGCCCCAGGACTGTGTATGACAGCCGCCAGCCCCCAAGTGAGTTCCCCTGAAAAGACAATCTCCATGCACGCCCCATTCCTTGCCCACACTCCTGCACCTCAGCCTATCTTAAGTGCTACCCAGGAAAGCCTGCCTGCCTGGGCATGGCCAGAACAAGAACACACTGTCCCTCTGCAGGTCCTGCTTTGGCCTGGAGCACAGGGACTGACTGTTAGTGGCTGATTTTGTCCTTGTCTTCCTCCCCCCCCCCCCACCCAGGACCTCCGTGAGAAGAACTGGAAGGCGATGGAGGCCCTAGCCTCAGCTGAGAAGGCCTGCGAGGAAAAGCTGCGCTCCCTGACCCAGGCCAAGGTCAGGGCCTCACCTGCCCTCAGACTCACCCCTCACCAAACTAGCACTCCTGCCTGGGACAGGCACAGCAGAAAGGCTATGAACATGACAGGCCTGGCCCTGGGCTCCAGTGTCCTCTTTGCTGCTCCCCCTGCCCTCTCTCCCTTTCAGCAGGGCCTACCACCATGAGGGTACAGGACTAGGATGGCTGCCAGGGTGGAGTCAGAGGCCACAGGGTGGGAGCCTACTGCCTGCCCTACCCTGAGTGGGACTACAGCTCTGCCTGCTTCTGTCCTGGCCCTCTGAAAGCTTGGCCTAGAAAGTCCCAAAAGTCAGAGTGACGTCTGCAGTTGGTCACTTGGGTGAGGTCCCCTCTTGCCCGTTGCTCTGGGCTGTCTAGGTGGAGAGATGGTGAACATACCTCCCAGGGTCTGGGCCCCAGGCTAGAAAAGAACCTGCATACACGGCACATGGCACAGGGCTCCTGGCAAGCAATGATGTCAACTAAAGCCCTTGCCCACCCCATCTTTTCTGAAGGGCCAAAGTCCACCTGATAGAAAGTTAAGAGACAGGGTGAAGGCCACTAGACCTCAGTGACCACAGTGTCACCTGACATAGTTACAGTCACACTGGCAGAAGAGGAAAGTTGGCCCCAGGTTGTCTGCAGTGTGGACTGCCACAATTGCAGGCCCAGGGGTGGGCTGCACCACAGGCATGGGTGTGAGTCCAGAACCGGTGGGCTGTCGGAGACCTAGGCGTTCCTTGTCACAGGCCCCACACTACTTTTCCCATCACTGTTCCTCTGGGGCTAGCCTCCATTGACCCCACATCACTTGGAATTCCTGCTGCTGCTCCCTGCTCTCTCTAGGAGGTGACAGGGCCAGTGGAGGGTCCAGCCTACTAGGGACAGGCTGTTAGGAAACCCCAGAGATGGGCTGACTGCTGTCCCCAGGCTTCACCCTGTTGCTCCCTCAGTGCGGCGGGGAGTGACAGCTTTTCCCGGAGAGCCGCAACTGACTAATTTCCCTCCTACTGTGGCTTCTGTAAGACTCATTCTCTGTCCTGACCCCACCTCCACCCCAGCTGCTGTTCCAGGACACAGATGTCACCCCCTCTTCCAGAATGCCCATTCAAACTCCTACCCTCTCAGGAGAATTCTGCAAGTGAAAGGGTGCTGAACCTAGGCAGCTGCCACGAGGGGCCAGAAGGCCCAGCATCTGCTGTGTCCCTCTCATCTGAGCTCAGTCTGTTAGTGGATCCAGTACAGGCTGCTCTCGGTCAGCTCCACTGAGCCACTGCAGCCTCTCCTTGACTCCTTAGCTGAAAGACGACGCCCTGTCCCCCTGCAGGAGGAGTCTGAGAAGCAGCTCCACCTGACCGAGGCACAGACCAAGGAGGCCGTGCTGGCACTGGTGCCAGAACTCTCAAGCTCAGCTCACCAGGTAAGGGGGTGGGCAGGTGGGCAGCCCACCCTGTGTACTCGTGCCCAGGGCCTGTCTCCAGGCCCATCTTGCATGTCTCCTTGCAGAGTTATGCCGATTGGCTGCAGGAACTCCGAGAGCAAGGCCCTAAGCTGCTGAAGCAGCTGCCCACTGACATGGAAACCTCGGTAAGCAAGGCCCTGCCAGTGTCTGGGGAAGGTGTGCCACACGTGGTCTTGGCAGATAGCTGGGAAGAAGCCTTTGTGTGGGGCTTACCAGTCCCTGTGCCCACAGGACAGGGCTGCTGAGCTGAGGGAGGCCCAGGAGATGAACATCACCCTGCAGGCTGAGTGTGATCAGTACCGCACCATCCTGGCTGAGACGGTGAGCAGGCGGGAGTTGCGGGGAAGGACCCTGGGGCCCACAGTGTGGGAGGTGGCTTGGAGTCAAGGCTGGCGCTGGGTAGTCTGGGGCTGTAGGTCTCTCGGGGCATCGTTTAAAGGTTTGGGGCTGGTCACGGGGAGCAGTGAGCAGGCAGCTGTTGGTTTGAACCCTGCCCCCTGGGACTCCAAAGAGCAATGCTAGGGCCAGCACCCTTGGCCAGCCGAGTGCTAGCACCAACTGCCCAGCCCAGGGTTGTTGAGAGGCCTGGAGACCCCTTGTGGTCACAGCTCTCACCTCCCCACTGGGGCAGAGGTCTCCACAGCCAGGACTGGGCCTTGTTCCTCCCGGGGGAGCACACAGGAGGCACAGCAAGAGCTGAGGCCACAGGGCCATAAGGAAGGCCTGGCAGGAAAGCCCCCTGGTTCAGTGTGCCTCCTCCCACCCCTTCCTAGGAGGGCATGCTCAGAAACCTGCAGAAGAGCGTGGAGGAGGAGGAGCAGGTGTGGAAGGCCAGGGTGGGCGCCAAGGAGGAAGAGCTACACAAGGTAGGCAGCCCCTTCCCTAAGCACCTCACCACCCCCTCCCCCATGACTCCCAGGGACTCACTGGGCACAGAATGTGAAAGCCTCTGGGGGAGCATTACTGGGGCCTCCTCCATTAAGTGAAGAACTTGGTGGTCACCGTCACCCCTTGTGGGTTCCTCTGTCGGGAAGAAGCTGTGCCCCTCTGCTGGAAGTTGGTGTGCCTTGGGAGATCCCCCTTGGAGCCTGCTGACCAGGGTGGTGGTCCTGGGGCCCCAGGCGTCTCTGGGAGGAACCTGTGCCTGACAGACTCTCCCTGGTTCTGCAGTCTCAGGGCACTGTGCAGCATCTTGAAGAGGTCGTGCAGAAGCTCAAGGCGGAGCTCAAAAGTTCAGATCAGGTAGGTGGGTGGCAGCTGCTCTCAGGGGAACAGAGTCCAGGGCCACAGGACAGGCCATTCTCTCCCGCACCACGGTCGCTTCCTGGCTGTCTCCAATGGGAGCCTCCATGTGTCCTGAGTATGTTGAGGACCTGCTTAATGTGTGGCCATGCAAACAGGAGTAGAGAAGAAAATGGAGGCACATTTCTCCAGTGTGGCAGTGCTAGGGCTGGAGCCATTTTCAGGAAATGGTCTCAGCATCCGCAGTGGTCGTGGGCCATGGAGGGTCACTCGTCACCCTGGGCTGCTTTCAGCTGGGATGTCACATGTGGTGTCAGCAATGATGGCCACTTGTGTCCTGGCAGGTGCAGGAACACACCTCGCAGCTAGAAGCAGAGCTGGAGAAGTACATGGCAACGGCCAGTGCCGAGTGCCAGAACTATGCTAGAGAGGTGGCAGGGGTGAGTCTGCCCTCACCACCAACCCTCAGCCTTACATGCGAGCCTTACTGTGAGTCTGGGTCTCAGGTGAGGCTCAGCCTGTACGCACCCTGCCTGGTTCGCTGGCCCGAGATGCTCAGAGAGACAGGTCAGGGTGTGGCGCCTAGATCGCTGCCATAGTTGGTGGAGGCAGAGTTTTGATTATGCACACCAGCATGACTAGTTGGGGTTCATCTTAGACTCATGGCTTCTTACATAAAGACATTTGGTGACCACAGAAGCCTGCCAGGTGTGTGTTGAGACCTGTGGTGCCATGTGGGCCCAGGGTAGATGGGTGGCTGTGCTGACTCACTCCCTGCTTCTCCCCAAGCTGAGAAAGCTTTTGCTCGAGTCTCAGTCCCAGCTGCAGGTGGCCCAGAGTGAAGCGCAGAAGCAAAGTGATGAACTGGCCCTGGTAGGTGGGCATGTGATCCCTTGCCACAGGTTGTGGGGAGGGGGAGCGGCTGTTAGATGTGTGGGAGGTGCTGCCACTGGCAGCAGCTGGGGTGGCATAGTAGAGGAAGCATTGCCATGGGAGCCCATGCTCCTGGTAAGCCCACTCCCAGGGTCTTGGGTCACCGGGTTCCCATGACACAGGACCTGGAAGCCATTGCCCAGTGGCTCTCAACAAGTTCCTTGGTTTCTGGAGGGCGGGGGTGCGTTTCTCACCCCAGCAACAACTGAGAAGTCAGCCACACAGGCAGGTGTGTAGAACCTGCTGCACGTGGCTCTGGGGGCCTTGTTGTGCCAGCCAACTTGAGTCCTGCCTGCTATGCTGTTGCCAGCTGCAGGATCTGACCTGCAACCCATCTCCTTGGGGCATTGCCACCCAGCTAGGTTGCATCTGTTCTGACATTTTGAGTCATTGTTAATGTCAAGAAACCAGAGGATGTGCAGTTCTGGCTTGGGAGGAGGCAGGCTGCGGCCTAGGGTCAGGCAGCCTCCCCGGATCACCTGGTCAGGCGCCTGCCTTGAAGGGCCCTCCTTCTAGTCACTTATTGGCCAAACTGGATCTGGACTGTCAGCAGGGTGTGGCCTGCATTTGGATACCCTGTGGAGAACCCCAGTGGCTTCTCACCTTGGACTGAACAATCTCACTTCTGCTTTTGGGGGGTTATGGAGGGAGGGGGTAGGGAGAAGCAATTGAGGTTGCTCCTTAAAGTAGGCAGGGCCTTGTGGACGGGCCCCAAGACCACCTGTATCTCTGGGAGCTCACACTGAGGCCCTGCCTGAGCTCCTGGGGGAAGCAGAAATGACATCCCAGGGTTCTGGAGCCTAGGAAGGGCCCCAGGTGGGGGCCTGTGTTCCTGAAGCTGCAGGATGTAGGCAAGGTCACCTGGCTCCACCCACCACTCCCTGCCACTTGAACTTGGAGCAGAGCCCTGGCTCTCCTGAAGCCCTCAGTTTGGCTCCCAGGGGAGCTGAGGTCCTGGCCTCTGACCCACCAGACATCCATGCAGGGGGATTAGAGGGACCCAGGATCCAGAGCAGGCCCCCTCTGTGTGGCCTTCAGGCTTGGAGAGCCACCCTGCTCCTCCGATGTCTGTGTTTGAGTGTGCAAGGCAAGGTGGGTGCATGACCATCCGTGATCTGCACAAACGTCCCCTCCCTGTTGCAGGTCAGGCAGCAATTGAGTGAGATGAAGAGCCACGTAGAGGATGGTGACGTAGCTGGGTCCCCAGAGAACTCCCCAGCCGAGCAGGAGCCCATGGAGGTTAGGGCGGTGAGCTGGCCCCCAGATGTGTCACTAACCCTGAGGCATGGTGTAGGTCGCCAGCTCTGTCTTCCCCTAACCCTGCGTCGCAGTTCCTAACCCACTTCCCCCAGGCCAGGGTCCCTGGGCCTGAGTAAGACACAGAGGGCAGGGCAGGTGCTAGGTGGGGGGCCAGGGTGCCCACAACTCTTGGTCCCAAGAACTTGGGTGGGAGGAACTCAAGGTTGGGGTATTGGCCATGGCCAGGGCTAAAGGCACCAGATGGAGTAGGTCTGCCCTTGGACCCCATTAGGATCTTTGCTCTCCAGAGTTTTGGCCCAAGGAGTAGCTGCCAGGAGTCCTCAACCAGGTGCAGGGACTTGTCATCAGGGTAGCAGTGGCATGGTCATAGAGGCAAGTGCCAGGACCCACTGCGTGGGGTGGGGGAAGGCTAAGAGAGCATGAGAGCTGCTGCAGGGAAGGGAGTGGGAGAGCCGTATGTGTCACCTGCCCAGGCGTCCTGGGCCCCCGCACTCCTTCGCTGGGTTCCCATGGGATTTGTGTCTGCACACAGCTCAAGACACAGCTGGAGCGGACAGAGGCCGTCCTGGTGGACGAGCAGACTCGGCGGCAGAAGCTCACAGCAGAGTTTGAGGAGGTGAGGCCCTGCATGTGATCCCCCACCCATCTCCCAGTCAGCGGTCCTCACCCCAGCCTTGACCACCTGATTAGCTGCAGCTGCGTTTCCCAGTGCCGGGGGTTATGTGAGCTGGGGGTCCCAAGGAGGTGGTACTTGGGGGTCACCCTGCTGCCTTGTTGGCCCCATGGGCCCTGTCAGCCTGGGTACCCCATCCCTAGGGGGCAGTCAGGGAGAATGCCAGCGAGGCCTCACGCTCTCTGGCCCTCCTTCCTCCACACAAGGCGCAGACAGCTGCATGTCGGCTACAGGAAGAGCTGGAGCAGCTCCGTACCGCCGGGCCCCTCGAGTCCTCGGGCACAGAAGAAGCAGCACAGCTGAAGGTAGGTGCAGGGCACAGTGGGCTGGGGCTGTGCTGGACCTGCCAGCAGCAAAGGTGGAAGACAGAAGCACAGGCCTGACTTCCACTTCCCTCTCATCCTGTAGGAAAGACTAGACAAAGAGAAGAAGTTAACAAGTGACCTGGGGCGCGCAGCCACCAAATTGCAGGAGCTTCTCAAAACAACTCAGAAGCAGTTGGCCAGGGAGAAGGACACAGTGAAGAAGCTGCAGGAGCAGCTAGCCAAAACCGTGAGTGTCTACCTCCTGCCAGTGAGGGCTGGAGCTGTCCTGGTTCTCCTAGCCTCATGGCTGGCCGGCCCCTCACCCTGCCCTCCGTTGTCCACAGGACAGCAGCGGCGCCAAGGAGGGCACCTCCGTCTGAGCCTCGTCTGCCACAAAGACCTTACTGTTCGACTTTACCAAAATGCCTTACACATTCCTTTGATGAGTCCATCGGCCCAGCACCACAGTGTCATCCAGGCCCACCTGCCAGGGGCTCCGAGAGAAGCCATCGGAGATGGGGCACTCAGCACCACAGAAACGGACCTCGAAGCCCTGTGACCCCCAAGAGGACCCGTCCCCTTGCTGAACACTATTCCCACTGGAGCCTGGGTGCTGGGAGGCCGGGGCTTGGGCCCTCTGCGGCCAGCAGTGCAATTGTTGTGTCTTCTGAGCAGGGTGGGAGTAGCCAGCCTAGAGGCTGCAAGGCCAGAACCCAGCACGGCGGCTGCCCCTCACCCCTGCAGACTGCCAACCGGAACTGGTGTTACCTCCTGGATGTGAATGCCATTAAAACCAACATCGTTATCCAGTGTGTAGTCTCCTATGGTGCTGGGGCACCTTCTGGGGGAGCATGTGAGCTTGGGGCTTGGTTCCTTGGAAGGCAGCAGACTGATAGCTGGGTGGAACAAGGGGTGGGACTTCTGACTCCTGCTCCCCCAGCAGCCTCAAGGCAGCAGAGGCACCATGCTGGACTACAGCGGCCTGAGCTGCTGGGTGAGGTGAGCCCAGGAGTAATGAACACAGGGCCATGGCTGAGCCCATGTCTCAGGAGGGTTGGTCCTGGGTAGAGAAGTCCCTGCCTGCCTAGAGGCAGAGCTAGTGTCCTTGGTGACCCACCCAGTGTGGGACAGAGGCACCTCAACCAACACAGAAAGCAAAAGAAGTGGAACTGAGGCAGAAAGACACTATAGTTCCTGGACCACGCCAGGAAAAGGAGGGGGGCCCGAGTGGCGGGTGTCAGCCAGCCATGTCAGAGGTCTGCTATTCCATTCCATCTCCCTGCTGAACCTCAGAAGCCTGGAGGCACTGACTGGCCAGGCTGGGCTGAGGGAGCCAGGCAGCACTGCGGGAGCAGGGGATATATCCCTACAGCTGAACTGTCCCTATGGATCCTTGGTGGTCCATGTGACTCCTCTGGAGGGGTCCTTCACCTCCACAACTCCCAACAGCATCTGCCAGGGGCCAGTCCTGGTTCTAGCCCAGTATGTACAGTCATAGCACATGGCACTTGGGTGTTGAGTTACACTGGAAACAGTCGTGGGACTCCTGGGAATTCTCCCTGCAGGAGTGGGCCTAAACTGGAGCCTGCCAGCAGAGAGGCCTTTGTTGGGCACAGCAGGTACAGCTCAGGTATGTGGTGGGGAAGTGCCAGGGACCCAGGTGATGATGACTAAATAAGGCAGGAGCTGTCCTGACAGGCTGCTCAGCCAAGAGAGACAGTCCTGTTAGGAACCTAGGGAGTTAGGAAAGGGAGCCCATGGGTCCTGAGACCTCAACACCATGAGTTCTGGCCAGGAAACGATGGAAGTGATCAGTGCTCAAGCCTGATGCCTGTACCTGACTGGCACTGAAGGGCCCTACCTGGCAGGGCAGGTGATGAATCCCCTTCCGCACAGCACTTGGCAGTAACACTAGGATCCTGGCTTCCTAGATGGGTCAGGATCAGAAGGGAGGAGCTTGGTTTTAGAGCAGTAGCCACTGAGCCCTGTTACTTGTGGTACTGCAGAACTACCCACTGAACACCTGGTACATCCAGGACAGGTGGCTTGGTACAGGAGCTCAGGGCCCCAGGCTGTGGCCTCTGTGGTTTGTCCAGACTGTGCCTGCGCCGGGACTCGGAATCCCCACCGGGGGCCTGGGAGCTGCATTTCCAGTGCACTGCTTGCTCTCTCCCCCTCTTGCACTCGAAAACACACACACACACACATACACACACACTGCAAATTGAACACTCCTCCACCACCATTACCCTCAGAGCCAGAGTGCACAGAAGGGCAGGGGTACAGTGACTGCCCTGTACTCTGGGTATAGCACCCCCCGCAACACCCTCAACACCCATGGGAGCCTAGCCATAGGGAAGACAAAAGCGGGTGCAGTACACTTTCTGGGGCCCTCACAGCAGCTCTGCCTGCTCCTCTGCCTCCACAGCCCTGAGGCCCAGCAGTGGCACCTCTAAGGCCAGCAGAGGGAGCCCGAGTTTGCCAGCAGCGGGCCTGCCCTGTCACCACACCTTTCAGGACAGTTCCACTCCACAGGACAACAGAAGCTAAGAGCAGCTGTGAGTGATTGACAAGAGAACATGCTCACCTCCACAGAATCCTGGCTCGCAGCCTGTGCTGGCGGGCACGCGGGTGGGCTTGTAACAGGCCTAACACCCAGCCTAAAGTTTCCCTTTGAGTTCCACCTGACACTAAAAGGTCCACACAGCCCTGAGACAGCACCTCGAGCACCAGAAGCCCATTCCAACTGGGCACTCAGGACACCTGACAGCTCATCTGTGGGCAACCCACTACAAAGTGCAGGCATCGAGCAGGGAAGAGACCGTGAAGGGCAGAGGACCAGCTTTGGGTGGGATAGGCCAAGATGAGGTTTCCAGTTGCAGCTGGCACCTCCAGGGAGATCTCACAGAGCTTCCTCGGGGCTGGGTCTGTCCCCTGCACATTTTCGTTTGGCAGCTCTAGGTGCCAAATCCTTGGACCGGAATGTGAGTGGCTCAAGAGAGCCAAGTGATCTGTGGCCATTACTGGGCTGGCTACTAAGCTGACTGGCCAGAGCCCAAGGAGAGCACTGAAACTTGGCTTCCGGAACATCCTATCATCACTCTTGTGCCAATCATGTCCGCTTCTTCAGCTGCAGCCCAAATAGGAGCCAGTCCAGGCATACTGGATTACAGACAGTGGCATGTCCCTGGCTGCTTGTGGTCTCTGATGGTCCAGTGGGCAAGGCACCTGTCAGAAAGGCTCATTCCTGACCAGCCAGCACTGTAGGCAGTTTTGGACACAGAAGACCTCTAGACTGAACCCAATTCTGCTTTCCAAGTGTCTGTGCTGTTTTCCCATGAGAGCAGCAACAACCCTCATGGCCAAGCTCTGCCTGAATAGTTAGCTAGAGAGGAAGGTTATCTGTCTCTCCAAGGGCCAGATAACCATTAGGTGAAGCCTAAGTCACCTTCCCTGCACCGACTAAAAGTATACCTGCAGTTTTATTCCCAGCCCACGGCAACTGAGGTCTAACCCTTCACTCTGTATCACAATCAACTATTGTAGCTGTTAGCATAATCCTTGGCCCCAACTTTTCCCTACAGTTCCCCCAGGAGCTGGAACACTGGTGAAGGCACCGCACCTGCAGCAGAGGCCTGGAGTCAGACTGCCAGCTAGAGCTCCTGATCCCATCTTCCTGCCAATGCTGATGGCACAGCAAGCTGCTCCTTGCTGTGCCCCGAGAACCTGGGTTGAGATCCCAGGCCCAGCTACACTAGGCATGTGGGGAGTGAACTAGCAGGTGAAGTGCTCTGTCTCTGCAGTAATTTAAGACTCACCCAGATAGTTAATTGTGGAGCAGCTGGACACAAACTAGCACCTATATGGGAACCTGGCACTTGGAGGTAGAGGATTAGCCAGCTGAGCCATGCACTGACCCCCCAAAAAGTACTTTTAACATCTTGCCTCCCCAAAGCCTGGGACTTGGAGAAATACTTGGAATTTTAAAAAAGCTTCCCGACTTTCACACCAACTTATCAATCAGAGAGGAGCTATGACCTTATGCACTCATTGTAAATACTCTGCCTCAAGGATACAACCCACATGGAAGGCAAATTCCCACATGAATCACACAGAGAGAAGTTATAAATGCTTCCTTTATTACATAATGCCAGTAACTGCTACTTTTGACTGTGCATCTCTACATTGTTCAAAGTGTTTTATGCTGTGATACTCAATGACAAAAACCTCAAGTGTCACCCACAGTCCCTGCTCCCAGGCCCAAGCAAACACACACGCCATGTTCTTCCACACTGTACCACACCAGAAGCAGCAATGCTCTGAAGGAGACGCAATTCAAAAGAATCACAAGTGTCCTAACTCATCAAGATATCATTTTATCATTCCATTAATAAAGCAGATTACAGTGGGGCCCTAATTTGTATTGTAACTAGGTGTTACAAGACACCGCAGGTTCTCCTGAGGACACACCACACTTCCAGGATACAAGGTCACTCTCCACGCAGTCTCCCGCCATGCCAGCAGTAAGCCCGCCACAGGTGCAGGAGCTGCTGCCATCAGCAGGCCTGAAATGTGCAAGATCAGCGTGAGTCACAAGTGGACATGATTTTGAGTCAGTCTTCCTCACACACTGAGTAGGATCAAAAGACTGCCCAACTTCATCTTAGTGTTCTGTTAGTACATTAGTATTGTTACATGTCATGAGAAGAATTATATTCTGTGATTCTGTTTAGTTTCAGCAGGAATAAGGAATCTGGACCAAAATTATAACCAGATTATAACCAATTCACTAGGCAAAGAAACAAAGTGACTGCTGAGGCCAACAAAGACGTAGCAATTCTCTTCACATGGCCTTGCCTGGTTTTGTGAACTGCATTATTAAAACTCCTGAGCTCAACAAAAATCTTTATAAGGCAACTCATCAAAACAGAGGCCAGTAAGAATTTAATTTCACACCAATAGAACTGCAGATCTAGATTTATTTAGGGCCATGATTGCACATTTATAGAATATTTCGTTTACTCTAAAAGGTTACAAGACAGCTCCCTCTCAGCAAGACCCTGGCCTACATATATTTGCTTTACTTATATAGTAAGAAGATAACATTACACATGGAAGCTTTCAATTTGTGGCACTGAATGATGAGCTACACGGGGCATCCTTCAAAAGCTACAATTAAGGATCCACCCAGCTTCTCTGCAATGCAAGCCCGATTGAGGTCTTCCGGCCCATTCGCTTGACATTCATGCTTTATCCCTAGGGAGGAGAAACAACAATCCTAATTAGAATTATGGCAGCAGCTTATCTGTTTCTGCAAGATAAAACCCAGTTGTAATAAGGGTAGCTATTTAAGAACCACAGTATGCAATAATTAGAATAACTTAACTGGAAAACTGTTCTGTAGCATTAACCCGCCACTCACAACACAGGCCTCCTACATGTGTGTGTGCATGGTTGGTCCAGGCTACTGGGCTTCTGGATCCAGCTGCCCACTAATGTGCCTGGAAAGGCACTGGAGGAGAGGGCCAGATGGAGCTCCTGACTCTAGGCTGCAGCCTGGTCCTGGTGTGGGCATCTGGGAACAGAATAGCACAGAGTACTCCTGCCAGTCTCGCTCTGCCTTACAGTAAATTGTTTCTTGAAAAAGAACCCTGTCACCAGGAACATTGCAACTGTGCTGCAGCCTGCTCGCTCTGGGAAGGAGGGGCTGCACTACACAGGCAGGCCCAGGTCTCAGGCCCACCTGACCAGCACAGCCGGTCAACCCCGCGCACCCCTGCAAGGCACCACAGCAAGTCCCCCAAGGAAA